GAACTGCTGCTCCCTTTTCTTTCAAATCCCTTTTGAAGTCTGTGCCATGACACCTCCCCTGAACAAGACACAATCAGACAAATAACTGCTTTCTATTGAATTTTAAAGAGGAAAATATTTTCTAGTGAGTTAGAACCATTCATTTTTTTCCTGTGTAACTGTGCTTTGATTGCCAATTAACTCCAGCTACTTGAAAATGGTTGCAATTGCTACTCTGCACACTTCACAAACGTTATCCTCTGGTAAACTTATGAACGTTTGCATCCTGCAGCAGATGCATGGAGTGCAGCCAAGAGATGAGCATTTATGATCTTGTTTAGTCAACTCAGATCTGGTAATCTGTTAACTCAGGATAAAATAGAATCAAAAACTTCAGTCTAGACACATCCCAACAGTTAAGACTGTAATTATTTCAAGTTAGTTTATAACTGTTTGTAAACTCTCTCTGTTTGACTGTGCAGCACAGTAGGAACTAATCCTGAATGGGTCATCACTGCATACAAATAAGAAGGGTACAAACAATTTGTTCTTGGTAGTTCTCATTAGCAGATCCCTGACCATGATACTGTTGTATGAATTTGATGGGTACAGTTGCATGAAGAGACCATGCTGAAGGAGGGAAAAAAAATGCTAGGAGACATTTTTTGGAAGGAAGTAGTATCTAGTTAATTTTCTTTTTTAATCCTGAGCATATAGCTGTTCTAAGTTTTTGAAGATAAATTTAGAAGTGTATTTTACAAAATATTTGTATACTGCTGTCACTCAGGTTAATTTCTTTGCTATTTGAAATGAAGCAGATACTTCTGTCATATACTTCGTACATCCCACTTAAGCTCACAGCAAATAATTAAGGGTGAGTAATAGTGACTGAGGAATTCCAATCCTTTGAACAGCATTAACAGAAAAGCTACTATATGTAGTTTCCTTCAATCATAGAATACTAGAACTGGAAGGGACCATGAGAGATTAACAAGTCCAGACTCCTGCCCTCATGGTAGGACCAAGCACCGTCTAGATCATCCCTGATAGATGTCTGTCTACCCGGCTCTTAAATATCTTGAGTGATGGAGATTCCACAACCTCCCTAGGCAACTTATTCCAGTGTTTAACCACCCTGACAGTTAGCAAGTTTTTCCTAATATCCAACCTAAGCCTCCCTTGCTGCAGTTTAAGCCCATTGCTTCTTGTCCTATCACATCAGAGGCCAAGGAGAACAATTTCCCCCCTTCTCCCTGTGACACCCTTTTAGATACCTGAAAATTGCTATCATGTCTCCCTCTGTCTTCTCTTTTCCAAACTAAACAAGCCCAGTTCCTTCAGCCTTCCCTCATGCCTCATGTTTCCTAAACCTGTAATCATTTTTGTTGCTCTTCTCTTCGCCTATTTCTCTACATCTTTGTTGAAATGTGGTGCCTGGAACTGGACACAATACTCCAGTTGAGCCTAATCAACTCTACTTTGAGTGAAAGAACGACGTCTCATGTCTTGCTCACAATACTCCTGTTGTTGCATCCCAGGATCATCTTTGCTTTTTTTGCAACAGTGTGACACTGACAACTCATATTTAGCTTGTGATCCACTATGACCCTTATATCCCTTTCTGCAGTACTCCTTCTTAGACAGTCACTTCCCATTCTCATGTGTGAAATGGATTTTTCCTTCCTTAGTACAATACTTTGCATTTATCCTTATTAAACTTGATCCTGTTTACCTCAGACCAATTCTCTAGTTTGTCCAGATCATTTTGAATTATGACCCTATCCTCCAAAGCACTTGCAACCACTCCCAGTTTGGTATCATCTGCAGACTTAATAAGTATCCTTTCTATGTCATTATCTAAATCTTGATGAAGATATTGAACAGAATTGGTCCCAAAACAGACCCTTGTGAAACCCCATTTCTATGCCCTTGCAGCATGACTGTGAACCATTAATAACTACTCTCCTAGAACGGTTGTCAAGCCACTTGTGCACGCACCTTATAGTAGCCCCATCTAGGTTGTATTTGCCTACTTTATTGATAAGAAGATCATGCAAGACTGTATTAAATGCCTTACTAAAGTCTAGGTATACCAGGTCCACCGTTTCTCCCTTATCCACAAGACTTGTTATCCTATCAAAGAAAGCTAATAGATCGATTTGACATGAATTGTTCTTTACAAATCCATGCTGGTTGTTATCTATCACCTTATTCCAGATGTTTGCAGATGAATTCCTTAATTACTTGCTCCATTATCTTTCCTGGCACAGAAGTTAAACAGACTGATCTGTAGTTTTCTGGGTGGTTATTTCCAGGGCTCGCCGAGTGGCGGTGAGCCCCGCTCGCCAGCTGCGCGGTTCTGTGCTCTCCGCATGCGCAGATCGCTCTGCGCCGGCTCTTCTGGGGTGTAATCTACTCTCCATGGGCGAGTAGATTAACATTGTTTGTCGAGCCCTGGTTATTTCCCTTTTTATAGATAGGCACTATATTTGCCCTTTTGCAGTCTTCTGGAATCTCTCCTGACTTCCATGATTTTTCAAAGATGATAGCTAAAGGCTCAGATACCTTCTCTGTCAGCTTCTTGAGTATTCTAGGATGCATTTCCTCAGACCCTGGTGACTTGAAGACATCTAACTTTTCTAAGTAATTTTTAACTCGTTCTTTTTTTATTTTATCTCTTAAACCTACTCCATTTCCACTAGCATTCACTATGTTAGGCATCCGTTCATCATCAAACTTCTTGTTGAAGACCAAAACAAAGAAGTCATTAAGCACCTCTGCCATTTCCAAGTTTCCTGTTATTTCTCCCTCTTCACTGAGCAATAAGCCTACCCTGTGCTTGGTCTTTCTCTTGCTTCTAATTATTTTTATAGAATGTAGTCTTGTTACCCTGTATGTCTCTAGCTAGATTGAGTTGGTTTTGTGCCTTTGCCTTTCTGATTTTACCTTACCTGTGTCATTTGCTTTTCATCCTTTGTAATGTAAAGCTTTGTATCAGTACAAAATTAACAGCCAAGTCGTCATGTCTTTTAATGTTAAAATCTTTTCCAGCATCACTTACTATTACTTGTTGTTTCTGGTAGAATCTTTGTTGAGACAAAGAGGTATAGTAAGCATTTCTAAACAAAGAATACTTAAGTGAATGCATATTAAACAAATAAAATATTTATGTACAAGCCAACCTCTGACTGCAACAACTTAAAAAAAATTGTCATTACATAAATATCTAAAGCCTAGTCTACTCTTAAAAGTTCTGTTGGTATAAGTATGTTAGATAGGAATCACATCCCAAACAAACATACTGTGCAGGCAAAAGCTCTAATGCCGTGGTCCCCAACACAGTGCCCGTGGGCGCCATGGCGCCCGCAGGGGCATTTCAATACGCCCGCCAGGTGCTCGGGGCTGGCCTGGCCCTGGGCACATGGCGCATGGGCGCTTGCGAGCGTCGGCCCTGGGTGCGCGGCGCTTGTGGGGGGAAGCGCCTGCCCCGGGCGCACGGCGCTTGCGGGGGG